GACAGCATCTCTTTCTTCAATATTTTTTGAGGCAAAGCTTTTTCTTCTCTGCCTGTTCTCCTTTCTGTTTTGCATTTGTACCTTACTGGAATGTTTAGTCTTCACAGTATTTCTTGTGACACCCTGATGCTCTAGAGGATCTATCTACCCTGTGCTGTTGCTGTGTTTATTCCAGGCTCTATAGAGTTTGAAATCTGACTTGCAACTTAAAGGACTTTGCTTCTCCTGAAAAAAAAAAACAAAACAGCAAAACAAACACTGAAATACTTGGTCTTGCTAAACATAAACAGCATTAATTTTTTAAGTGGTCAAACCATTGACAAGGAAATTGACTTATGAGTAATGTTTTTAATTGCCTTGAAGATTTTTGTGTGCCACTTACAAATTCTAGTTAAAATACGTTTTTCCCCAAAGAAACAGCAGAGGACTGATTTATACTGTGTCAGCACTTCAGATTAAACATTATAAAGGCTTGTAAACCTTACAAAATAACTGGCTTAAACTGCAGCATAAAAGGTTTTATTTGAAACAAATCCTTACGTGGTTTATGACGTTAAAAAAAAATTCTATTTGCATTTGGAAGTATAAAAAAGAAAAAAAAAATCTTCCGTGCCTCTTTAGTAATAGGTTTAGTTTCTTTGACTATATATGAAAAGTTTTCTGGTGATTTTGTTGGGGTTTTTTTCCCACCTCCTCAGATCTTACTGAAAGTTTTGATACGAGAAACAGTTGAAATTATCAGCTTAGTGTATCTTCAGCCAGGTTGGTTAATACTTTCTGAGATTGTGTCTTACATGTGGTAGAATGAAACAATCATTTTAAGTGAATTCATTGAAGAAAAATACTTTATTGATTTCTAACCTCATTCAGTAAGTGGGGGTTCTAGAAAAATGTCACACAATGGCACACTTGTACTCCCTTTTTCACAGACACGTTCTCATTTGTAAGACACTTTGTGCAGTGTTCAGTAGCATTTTAAATCTGCAGGGGGCAAATAACAAAACTGAGTGATGAAGACTCATTTTTGAAGTTTCTTACATTGTCTCATTGTTTTTCTTCATAATACTTTAAATAATGTCTACAACACTTGTAACATTTCCCCTATTCAGTTCATAGGTGCTTGTCTACCTACAGTGCTTTCTCAAATGAATATATAGTTCCAGATTTATTTTTTTTCTTGCAGTAAATCTGGTTGGAAAGGTATTTAAGTTTTGCTCAATAACAGTCAGTTTGCACATATCTGGTTTCTGTTCAGTTTCCTGTTTGTGATGTATGTCTGGACTTGTGTACAGTAGGATAACTTTTCATTTTGAGGCATGGCCACCAACATTGCAGCAACGGATACTAGCTTTTTGTAGCAGGGCAGAGGAATGGATTTTGAAATCTCCCCCTACTGTCAAATCCCTTCCTGCCTCATTTTCCCCAGAAGTCAGCTTTTAAGATCAGTTTTGACACGCCATTCTACTGGGAAGGATTCCAAGAAAGAAATACTGAAGAGATTCTTTGACCTCCTTTAAAACCTTACTCTGTATCACGCAAAAGAGAGAGGGAAATCTTAATCTGTTTATCAGCATGCATCTCCAAAATCCTGTAAGTTAATGTGTACAGAGAAGGCTTTTCCTGAAGAGATAAACGTGGTGTCGAAACTGTAATTAGTTTCTATCTCTACTATAACTTAAAGGTGTTTAAAAGTCTCACAGTGATCTTTTGTTTGAACTTCATCATGAGTTTGGTCCAGAGAGTGACCAGGAGCAACACCCATATTCCCTTACTTTTGAGAAACCCTATCCCTATGAGAGAAGTTTTTGCTTTAAAATCCTTTTGGAGTTTAGGAAGAAAATGTTGTGGATAGCCATTATGTACATAAACAAGGGATATGTAAACCAGGATGATGTAGTTAATTTAAAACTATCTAAATCTCCACACTGAATTGCAGTATTTTTCAAAAGTACAAGGGATACTCTGCTATACCCACTTGTTCCACTACTGTTTCAGCAATACAGGCTGTCCTTTATTTTTTCCCTCTCTAAATATTGAATGAGGTTCTTTCACTTCTGTGTTCTATTATGTCCAGGCTTTAATGTCAGTCATATGAGCCTTTTAGCAGTGTTAATCACTGTTTCTGACTAAACATTTGGACTTGGAGATTTAAAAGACAAGTGATTCTGTTTACCAGGTGCAGTATGCAGCATTTGTTAAAGTATTTTTAAATTCACATAGAGACACCCAAGCACACAGGTGTGTATGAAAAAAATTAACCCTGGGTCTCAATTAAAGGTTATTAAATATTGTGGTTTGACTGCAGCATCCTTGTTACTAGTAGACAGAGTATTTTAAATGAAAAACAACCCCCAAACCCACTCCCATAAAACCAAAGCAGAAAGAAACCCATCCCTCTCATGATTGCCAGGTCTCTTTGGACTCTGCATAGTCTAGCTGAAAATTTACTTCAGAGCCCTTTCTGGAAGGGGATTTTAAAAAATAAAATCCATCTATCCATATGATATAAATGATTACTCCAGGACACACGTAATTTTTATTTAGATATGATTTCTGCAACTGTAAGAAAAACATGAGCACCAGAACTATTTCAAATCGTGATTCTTATATAGTTGAAATAAGGATACTCTGTTTACACCAGTAAAGTACTAAATAGTTATAAATATGCAAATAAATATACAGTCTACGTTATATAAAAATACAGATATATCTACAAAGCATATTTATTTAATAAAGTACAGTAAAAATTAAATACACAAAATTTATGAAGAGCAGCTGCAGAAGCCAAGTATTTACAGGAACTGGGTTGATGTGTTCTGTGTTCAACTTCTCAAAGAATCATAGAATCAGCTCAGTTGGAAAAGAGCTTTAACATCATCAAGTCCAACTGTTCCTCCAGCAGTGCCAAGTCCACCACTAAACTATGTCACTAAGGGCCTCATATATATATGGTTTTTGAACACTTTCAGGAATGGTGATACCACCACTCCCCTGGGCAGCCTGGTCCAATGCCTGAGCACCCTTTCAGTGAAGAAATTGTTCCTGTTATCCAGTCTAAACCTCCCCTGGTGCAGCTTGAGGCTGTCACTTCTTATCCTATCACTCCTTACTTGGGAAAAGAGACCAACCCCCAGCTTGCTCCATCCGCCTTTCAAGTATTTGTAGAGAGCAATAAGGTCCCCCCTTGAGTCTTCTCTTACCCAGATTAAATAACCCCAGTATCCTGTCTGCTATTACTGATCAGGTAAAAATTAGTGCCTTGCAGACAGAGCTTCTTTCGAGGAGCAGTTTGTTTTGCAGGAAGAGGAAATAGATTGATTGGTGGTGCTTTTCCAGACAAGTCACAATTAAAACATTTCCCAAACAATGAACGATTGCTGTCCCTCATCATTGGTTACTCGATATGAGCTGTCTTGAGTTGCATCTTCTAGCCAGTGTAAATGTATGAAAATGATATGCTAGGAACGTAATAGCTAGGTGGCTACTTCCAAAGCTTGAGCATTTAGGGTAATTTAAAATTATTACTTTTAGATGATTTGTTGTTATTCATCATGTCTAGTCTATAAGGTTTTTTTCCTATTCTGACTCATCTAGTTATGTTTGCCAGATACATAAAGAACTTGCTAAGTGGGAGGAAAGAAACTAATTCTGCACAGAAAATGTATGGCATACAGGCACCTTTTGAACTTTGAGGCTTCAGTTACAAGCCTCTGTACTTCAGAGGGGAAATATGTTCCATGACGAACGTTATTTTTAAAGTGAATTGGTATAGAGATAAGTTTCCTCCAATTATTGTAGCTTTGTTTCAGTCTTGAATAGTTTTTAAGACAATGTATATTTTCTTTCAGAAAACCGAGACATGGGAGAGTGAGAAGGCTGAGGAAGACATGGAAGAGTATATTTGGGAAAATAGCCGCTCTCAGAAAAATGCCTTGGATACCCTACTTCGAATAAAAGCCTCAGAGAATGTCAGTAGTGTAACTAAGGAAGAGCTTCTTGCATCAGAAGTGGTTAAAAATTACAGAAACTCCGTAATTGCACTTAAAAATGAAGGTGAAACAGAAAATAACATGTCTCAGTATAAGGAATCTGTGAAGAAACTATTGAATATACAAGCATTACCATGAGAGACTCTGCAGGTACACCTGATTGTTACGGAAGTATTAAACTACTAGGTTAATATTTCAGTATGATATGGTTATGTATTTATCCAGAGCCTTAATCAAAAATACGAAACTTTATGAAAAGTTAATTTCAATAGTAATCAGGTTTTTCTTTACCACTGGACTTTCTTGTAAACATAATTGTCTTGTCCATGAATTCTGTTCTTTGAATAAAGTATGTTTTGAGTCTTATTGGTGACTTGAACATTCTATTCTGTGCTTTCTTAGTTTTGGAGATCCTGGTTCAGACCGCAGCTTAATCACATACTGACTTCTCACACAACTGCTTTTGGCATATAACTTAGAGCAACATGTCAAAACCAATGAAATTACTTAGGTTCCTAGTTCATTAATTTAGAGTCTGAAAGTTAAGAACTCTAAATTTTCTAAATGCTTTTCAAATGTCAGTCATTTTTCTCTCTGTTCTCCCTGTCTGTAAAATGAAGATAATACTGCCTAAGTAGCTTAACTCTTGGAGAGGTGTTGAAGCACTCTGAACAGTGTGAGGTTCTCTTGGTTGTCATTGTAAAGGCGAAAAAATACCCTAAGTAAAAATACCTGTCTCTAAAATGATGGAAAAAATTAAGGTAGTATATGGGATGGTTGTGGGAAGGTGAACTAGCAGTTATAGTCAGGATGCCAGAGTACATAGGAAAGGAAGACTGATGAGTGTTGCTGAAACTGATAGCTGGTGATTAGTGAGGCAAGTATATATATCCTAAACATGGAATGGACTGAGTCTTGGTACCCTGAGGCCTGATGAGTTGTCTTTTCAATGTTGCCAGGCTCTTCAAGAGAAAACATATTTGTAGCATCCAGCTTACTGCTGTGAAGTAACTCTACTCTTGTTTTTTATTGTACCTTCCTGGTTTACTAGGATTTCAGCTTAAGAGAGAAATTCTTCGTTTTCTGGAACGGGCAGAAGGAGGTTTTATTCATCAGACTTGAAGATTCTGCATACCTATAAAAGAAAGCATGTATGGCCTTGCCAGCAACAGAGGAAAAAGTGTTAAGAATACTGAAAACTGAAGGGAACTGATTTCTGCAGTGTTCTGTGTTGCTCAACTCACTGCTAGGGTTTCTCATTGTTTTGTGTTTACATGCAGCTAGAGTGTATTTATTCCCATTTCCAAAGCATTGTCTCTTTTGGAAATATTCTTAGGTAGAGATTGTTTTCATATGGCAGGAGACTGAGTTACTGCAACTTTTTACTCCTTCTGAGAATTTGCATGAGCTCTAGCTAAGACTGAAAATGATTGTTATGCAACCCCAATTTCACACTTACCAACTGGGTTACTTAGTAGGCCTTCCTTCTAGAGATGTATTAATGTGAAGTTTAAGCAGAAGCTTAATATGAGGAGAATTTTAGCTGTTATCAGTTTGTTCCTTTATTAAGGGATTATGAGGGTAATACTTAAAATTCTTGTTTGAAATAGTACATGTATAATTCCTAATCTTTTTTTAACAGCCATGAAACCAAAATTACTGAGGAAGTAACTGCAGTTTGACTCAGGGAATGGTATGGATGGTGGAGTTGTGCCTGGCTTTATTCCAAAGGCGGTTTGGTTCTAGTATTGTACCCATGAGAAATTTGTTTCCTGACTTAGCTTTCTCGGTGCTAGCATAAGAACTGGCGTATTAGCAAACATATGTAACTAAGTTCTGTTTTGCAGTGGCATGTCTTGTACCAGACTGTCATGTTTTAAGTAACTCAAACCCCCATACGCTTGCTTTTTCTCCATAGAGTTGTCCTTAATGTACATGGCACATACAAGCACCTGATAAACTCCTCTTTCCAACAGAGCACAATTCTGTTTTCCTTTGCTTTTCATACATTTTAAGAGGATCTAAGGAGAATTCCATAGGAAAGTTGTAGCTAAAGTGAAAATTTGACTTTACTAATAATAGTGGCTGGTAGAAAGAATAGCACAGCAAAGGAAATTTTTCATTTGATTGTATTATCATTTCATTAGCTTCACAGCTAATTCATGGAAAACCTAAAATGCACAAGAGTTCCCTCTGAAGTATTCAAGTCTAGCTCACAGATGTGCTATAAATGTTTCAGGAAATACAGACAGGATAAAAGGTGTCTGCTGAGTGCCAGGACACTCTCCCTACCAACGACAGATGACACCTACTGGCTAAGAACAACGCTGGGACTAATTCACTGTGTTCCCTAACCATGTCCAACAGTTACAATCAGAAATTGTCAAAGATACCAGTTTTCCATAGTATCTGGCTTCATGACACTATGGCTGTGGAACACTTGGCCAGCTGGCCCTAGAAATATGCAAGAGTGACTGCCAACCTGGGTTTTCAGTGTTATCTTCACTTACTCTCCTTGTTAAGAAATATGTGAGCAAAATCATAAACCTTTGTAATTCTACAAGTGCCCAATCAAGCTGCTAGAATCAAAACCAGTATAAAATTCAGAGTTACACTTGTGATTTTTACTAATGGTTTTTGTGCTACAGTACAGAACTTGTGTAATGCACTGGACCAGATCAAAGGTATTTTGTATTTTGAGCTCTTACATTGATGTTTCTTTTTCTGTTTTTCTGTTTCTGCCTTTAAACTGTGTTTGAAGGTGACAGTATTTCCCTGTAACTATGTAGAATACCTAGAACACTGGGATCTTAACTCCAGTTGGAGTCTTCCCAAGCTTAATGATGCATAGTATAGCATGTGTTTTTATGAACTATACTACACATCTATTTTCCTGTGTACTCTTGCAGACCATCTTACTGGAAATGTGCACTGAAGTTTAAAAACTGTGAAGAGTTAAAGGGTAATACTTACAGGTTAAGCAGATGTGCAGCACAGTAAGAAGTACATCCTTAGTAATGGTCTCTAAGGATGTATTTCATGTACATTATAATGTAAATGCATGATTCTAAGGTGTGTATCCCTCTACACATTCCTGTGTATGTACATTCTTGGCACGAGAAAGTGCTAACATTACTATTAAACAGAAATGTAGACAGGTGACAAATCAATAAGCAGGCTTGCTTCTTATAAACATTCCAAAGAAAGCCTGAGATCTTTTGCTTGGTCAAACTGGAAAAGAACTTGTTTTGTCAGCATTCTGGCTGATTCTTTGCATCTAGAAGCTATTGTAAACACTGGCATAAGATGTCTTAAGTAAACTGTCCTAGGAGTTGTGAAGTGTAAAAAGTATCGCTAAATAGTTTCTTGAGGTTGTTTTTCCATGTTCTCTCACACTTTTGCCCCTTAAAGAAGGGCTTTTGGACACTAAGCATAATCTCTTGCTCAATTAGATAAAACCTGTACAGCGACATAATTCAGTCTTCGGCAAGGAGAGCAGGTGTTACAACTACTTGTAACTTCACCAAGCCCTAGGATCTGAGTGTGACAGACTTGGTGTGAAGAGTTAGTAAACCCCTACAGATAATCTCATGATTGTCCTAACTGGAGTTGACACTTTTTACCCTGTTTTCAGGGTGCTGCAGCATTGCTGCAGACACAAGGGATAAAGGACAATTGCCTAAGAAGGGATGTGCTGTCTGGACAAACCCATTTCTACCCATTTCTTGTTTTCCCTCATACTTAAAATGTATGTATTTGCTTTTTTGCGACTCTCATGGTCTGTAATAAAATAGTCTTGCTACTGTGCTTTACATAACCCTTTCCTGCCTATTTGCCTATTTTTTGCTCTATAAATCAACAAACCAAGAACTGTCCAGAATGTGATCATGGATTTAGTCATCCCATCTTGCCCCAGAATCATCTGTGCATGGGACACATACAAATTTTCACTTCAGTCTCATTTCCTTTTTCTGGTGAGTATTGAGGCTTTAGTTCCATTATATAATTCACAACATAATACTGAGGGCAAGTATCAAAGAGCATCAAGGTGCTATTGAGTACGCTATGCAGTCACTAAGTGAGATGGAACCATGGACACCAGAGATGTCTCTGAGTTGCTGTAGATCACGCAGCTGATGAATGATCAGACAGAAGTTACTTTTGAGAGTAAAAGCAGGTGAAAAAAAACCCCACCTGTTTGAAAGCAAATAGGATATTGCCTATGAATTCTTCCTATTAAAACTAATACCTTCCTGCAGAGATTTGGTTTTGTCATGTTGGGGGTATATTTCATCTAGTGAAAGGATTTCTTTGCTAACCATTTCAGGGTCAGATCCAGATCCATAAAGGTTACTCAAAGATGATAAACACATCACATGAGACATACATTCTTTATTTACGTATTACCACATTAATCCTTTGATACACTATACAGTATCTTGGTTCCTTTCTTGTGGTTCCTTTCTTGTAGTTCCTTTCCTTTTGGTGTTAAAAACCTGGAAAAGAATACCTGTCAACTAACTCACTAAGAAGTGCCCTTGGGGTCTCATCATTCTTAGTTGAAATTTTTAGTCATAGTTAAACTGCACTAGATTCAGCCACATGATGAAAGTACATGGATAAGGAAAGTACAATCTGATGATAAAAGCTTGTTCAAATTTCAAGTACATCATGCAGTGGGTGCAATTCTAGATTTTCCATCACTACATACAAGCATAGAACCGCCTGTAAAAACAAATCATACCTAATACTAATTTTTCTAGCTAAAACAGAAGGCATTTCTTTTGTGTTATTTCAGTTGATTAAATAACCCCGCTCCCTTCAAATGTTCTTATCTTGTGTCCGCCTCTCTTCTGTTACATATAAATTAGCATACAAGGTCAATCAAATACTACGAACATGGGGATTTTTTTAAACTTCCGTTTTCTCAGCTACACTGCTTATCAGTGTGGGCTAAAATGTAATTTTAGAGAGGTCTTTTCCTCTGAAACTAACCTTCTCAACTAATTAGGAATTCATGTGGCCTTACAACCTCATCACTGTAGTGTAGTCTTCAAACACTGCATGAACTAGTTTTAAAATCATTTTCTATCACATAGATGTGACAACCAGTTTTGTTTTTTACTGTTTTCCTTTTATAACATTTACACTTGTCTAAGAAATGAAAACTTGTAAAAGCAAGTGACGAAAGTGAGAAACTGAGACATCAGCAAGTTTAAAAGAGGAAGAACAATCCTGGTTACTGGTGAAAATGTTTGCTTTGCTAAGCAAACTTCCTGAGTAAGGTATGGCAAGGAACTACCTTGCTACTTGTTGATCTAGTCACTTGATTTATATTCAGGAGGAGCAGTTTTATGAATAAGAGTATACAGGATGAGGAAACAAAAAAAAAAAGGGGTGGAAGTATTATAAAGCTAACTTATAAAGTTTCCAAAACACTCTGTATTCTTGTGCAACATACATTAAATTACTGTCCCTAATTTAAAAAGCTAATGATATAAATTATGAGTAGGCAAGAAAAGGCAAGTCAAGGTGAACAAGACAGACTGATGCTAATTGCAAGGCATGAAGAAATGTTAGCTGCATTTATGTTTACCTTAACCTTAGAATGGATTTGTCAATGCATTGCACAGCAAGTAATTTTAAAAAAGCAGTTGAAGTCTGAAGGTTTTTCTGAAGGGGCTTGAAAAACTTTTGAAGTGATTGTTATCAGAAAAGTGAAGTAAGAAATGGGGTAAAAGTAAAGCATACAGATTGAATGATCAGATGTTCGGGTATGAGTGAATGGAATTTAGTAGTTTTGGGGACTGGAGTTCTTTTTGGTGTTTACCTTTGAAGAAGTAGAGAGTGATGGGCAAATTGTCTCAATACGATGGATAATGGGGAAAAAAAGTAAATCTAGAACTTGGATAAAAATTGACATTCCATTGTTTTTATAGAAACGATGAGATCTTTTTTACTGATTACAGTTTTTTCAGTTTAATTCAAAGTTGGGGAAAGGACACATACAGCTACAGTGAATCTGCTCTCTTAAGTTAGGGAAAGTGTATAGTTAGGCATTAGTCTGGGTCAGATTGTGAACCAAAATGTACTCAAATGCCTCTGAGCATGAAGTGGGAGCTATGAATGTGTACTTACCTAAGGGGACAGGGGAATTGTGTTTTATCTGTTGAGAAATAAACTACAACTGAACGATTCTGAAACCATCAGTGAAAATTATCTTTGTTTCTTTAAAAGAGGTAAGTTGGTATATACGATTCATTTTTCAAAAGATATTTGTTCCAAAATAAGGATAGTGACAATATTTTACAAATTACCAGTAGTATATTTTATAAATTGTCTTGACATTGTTCTTCTTCTCCTTATGGGCTTATACTGACCTCTCCTATTGCTGCAACGCCCTGCTGTGAAAGCAATAGTACAACAGCAAAGCAAGACGAGAGAAGAGCAAAGAATAATAGGAATCAACCAGACACCCAAAGCTGCAGCTTCCCAGGCAGGTGCCTCATTATCCGAAGTATAATTTCTACCACTGTAGCCTTTGGTTTCATTTAAATGCTGCTTACTGCTGTTCAGACGAGAAGTGGGCATGTGGGATAATACGTCAGCAGATCTGAATATCAAAGTTGAGTGCACAGGCTTGTCAGAGCTGGTGATTGACCTAGTGCTTACTGAAGTGCTTGTCCTCTTAGCAAAACGATCATCCGGTGGAAAAGTTTCTGCAGTGAAATAAGTAGTAACTTCAGTGTTTTGAACTGTCAGGCTTGTGCTGAAGGTGTAAGTGTTTGCTATGAATCCGTGGCTAGTGGTAGAAGATGGAGCTTGGAGCAAAAGAGAACTTGATGTAGCATTATGATGCTGGCATCTTTCCCACTCAGTGGTCTTTGTGCTGTTTTGCCTTTCACATTTACTTGGTGAAGAGTGAGTATTTAGTTCTTTGGATGTCAGTTTCTCAAAAATAAGAAGATCTGGATCAATTCCTATTAAATCATAAACAATGTTAGTTTATGTGATAAAAGCTCATATGTATACACAAAAAAGGAGCACATGATACCCATCAACACCTCCTGAACTGGGGCTTTCACAGCCTAAGGCTGTGGGACATCTTATGGGATGCAAGGGAAATGCATTTTGGAATTGCACAGGACTTGCTTTGGGATGCTTAGGGAAGGAACCAAAAGTGAGGAAAGAGATGGATCTAAGCTAACAGGGAGTAGGGGAGTCTCAGCAAGCTGTGTATGCGCGTGTGTGAGTTTGCACCAGCAACTGGAGGGTGGCTGCACCCCTGGGGGATCATACCTGGGAGACTCGGATCCAAACTGGGCAGACTGAGCACCTGAGTCAAGCTGCTGAAGGAAATTGCATTGTATGTATATGTATGTATGTATTTTTAAACTGTGCAGCCAGAAAAAGCAGGATGAGACTCTTGGTGCTCCCCGTGTTCATGTGTCTGCTTCATGTGTTTGTCTGTGTTACTTTGGTATGTGTGCCCTTTGGTATGAGCCTAACAGGAATAAATTTTCAGCCTTGCTGCTGGTTGGATCTGGGGACATGGAGTATGGCAGCCTCACCTCTCAGTCTCTCAGATCTGGTACAGTATTTGGCCCAAGCATAGTACGGATTAGGTACTCAAAGCATGAATCTTGAGAGCAGGATGTATCTTCAAGGTCCTTTCTCATATATGGAATGGAAGAAAGGAGGCAAGTATTCTCAGAAGTAGGAACGTTAATGAAAAAGGACAAAAGTCTTACACCTTTTTAGCACTGGATGTTACTTCAGAAGATCTTCTAGCACAGCAACTGACCTAGTATAATTTTAAGATTTCCTATAGCTGCTATTTTTTCATTCTTTTTAAATGAAATGCTTAATTACCTGTTGTGATGTTGTACAAAATGACATTGATTTTAGCCTTTAGTATGCAACTTTCCAATGCTGGGCAAGATATGTGCAGGCAATTCATATTCTTATGAAGAGCTCCATGGTAGAAAACTGCTAGATTGCAGGAAACTATAATACAAAAAAAATAAATCTGAGTTTATCAGCATAATTACATTTTGCATGTTATTATGTTGTTTAGCATCAGACAATCGTTAATACTGGGCAGCTCCATACTACTTTAAATCTGTGGTTCTCTCATTATCAGGCAAAGTAATTAAGCATCCAGTTAGAAAAGTAGAACTGCTTATAATTATATAGTTATTTTACATCTGGAGAAAAGGAATAGAATAGCCATGTGAATTCTAAATGTGTCTCTGATTAAATAAGCTTTAGCTTGTATTCCTCCTTCCAGTTGCTTTCCTTCACATCTCAGATGCAGGGAGTGGAGCATTTCTAAAAGTGAATTTATCAAAGAAGAAACTCTAAAACCTACTCCTATAGTGTACCAATGCAGTGTGATAGAGAGAAAGTAAAGTCTTGGGCTTAAGACATGCAGTGATTTTTCTTATTTTTATTCTGAGTCTTGAGTTTACAAGGATAGGGTAAAGGGGTTGCCAGCTGAATAACTGCTATTATTTATTGCTGTACCTTTATTGTTCATATTAAGATTATACCTGGGTTGCACCAGAAACATGCTGTAAACACAGAATAAAAAACTTCTCACTCCAAGAAAATAAATATTCCTTCATTTCAAAGGACAAATTGTGTGTTTCCTTTTCCCCCGACCATGTCCTAGTCTAGTACCACACTCTATGAAGAGGAGTCCTATTGGAATCACTGGCATTGATTTTTCTTTAAGGAGTAAGTGGTGTTGGATACTGAGGGGTTCTTGTTTTAATGTTGGCATTAAAACATAAGCTTTGTAACATATCTAAAATTTCAAAGCAGATCCTGAGATTTTCATGTGTTTCTAGTGTAGTCTTCTAAAAAAAAATCAGATTACAAATTCCTCTCTAAGGGACAGAAAATGGGGCAGGGCCTCTGCCTTTCTGCCTCAAAAAAAAACCTTTTTTTCATTATTTCTTCTTCATATAATGTTTATATAAAAATTACAAAAAATGTTTTTTCTCATATGTTATGATGTAAATCTTAATGTATGCCATGATCCTGATAATGAACACTCACCATTCCTCAGAAGGCAGCAGGTTCTGCTGCACTGCTGGGGTGAGACTTCTTCATAAATCTTCAGCACCTGGGCTCCCCTCTTCTGTGATTCCTGCAGGTCAATCAGAAGACCTGGGAAGCGTCGAATCCAGCAGCTCTTGTAAAAGGTTGTGGGTAAGCAGAGAGAGTCTGATTCCACAGCTAAACCCAGAACCAACAGCACTTCTGCTATTGCCACCAGCAGAACCATTTCTTCAATGTAATGGGGCTTACTCAGTGCACTTTCTCCTCCATGGATGCACTAAAGTTCAGGCCAGCATCTTAAGAGACAATCTCCTGAGTGGTGAGGATACTGCAAATTCTGCCAGGGATATGAGCCAGGGGATGTGTTTTCCAAACAATTCCCATGATGTTGTTTGAGCAGCTGCTGGAACAAAGCAGCCATTTCATGAGCTACACACAATTAAAACAGTTACTCTTATTGTTCTTTATCTTCGTTATTTGGAGACAGTTTTTGAGAGTCAAAAGGCACAGTTTGGTTATAGTCATTCAGAGATTCTTTGGTCCCCAGTTTCTGTCTGTCTTCCTTCTAAGAGCAAACTAGGCAGACAGCCTTACCATGGGGTGAATAATGGTACGCTCAGCATATTGTTTCACCTCAACTCTGAAAGTATGTAGTACAGTCACTTGAAATCAGGAAGGTCTGCCACTTTATTCAGGTACACTATTACACTCAACACAGAAGAAACAGCTCAGTTTAGTGTCTTTTAACACTTTCTGAATTACCTGGTAGCTGCAAATATAGTTTCCTTCTTTACCAACAAACTGAACTATCTGTCTGCCAGTCAGAGGTGGAAATCTGTTCCCTTTCCCTATTCCGTTTTGGTTGCAAGAATAATACAATTTTATTTACAAAGATCTGTGAATAGATGAGTATGACTGCAGAAGGCTATAACATACATTCATCTCTAGATGAGATGGGTAATCGAAGTCCTGCCCCTAATAAGTTTGAATATTGAAAAATAAGAATATTGAGCAGTCTGTATGGATGTTTCTATTTATGTTTAAGCTTAGAAAAGGCCTGTGAAAGAAAGATAATATAGCTGACATATAGAGAGGCAATTTTTGAAGCACCTGGTCTGCAACCTGAAACTCCACAGTGTTTTATTTCTTAAAAGGATCCAGACTGATCCCTGATTCCCACTTCTGTATACCTTTCATACAGAAAGTTTTTAAAACATTACAGTGCATGAGCTGATTTAAATTCAATGGGCTACATAGTGGGGTTGAGAGAATTAGGTAGAAATATGGTTGTCTAAAATAAAAATTGTGTGTTGGATATATAAAAAAAATATTTATATGGCGTTCTTTTCCTTCAAGACTAGAATCATGGAATTTTCTCAGTTCTACATGAAGTATAGATCAGTTACATGGAGAGGGGGAGCCTCAAACTCATTTTAATTCTTCAGTCATTATAGGTGTCTGTTTTGCTAAACAAGGCCCCCAGTTTGGAAATGAGCTTACATGTATACAATTTTTGTTCCATACAATGCTCCTTAGAGGGTAATAAAGCTCATAGCAGGTTAACTCCTGTTGATCCAACAGCAAGACCAATTTATTCAGTGGAAGTACTGGCTATAATTAGGAGGATTCTAAATAGCTTTTTATGCAGACTGCATGTCTGTTGTGGGGAATACATGAATTAAATTGTAAGAAAGAGCATAAATGGGCAATTCTTTAAGCCTCTGTCTTGAAAACCAGCCCTCGGTACTTGTGTTATTTAGTTTTGGTAGTTTGATGTGCTCTGTTTTTATTTTCATCTCTGTGAAAATCACAACTTAAAACTTTAAATATGTGTCAATACACCTGTTAGTTTGCATTCAGTGGACAGCACAGGGATGTTTTCAGACATTTATCTACCATTGCCACAAGCACTATTGATAGTGTATTTTTCCAGAACTGTTATTTCAGCTTTCCAAATATTCTGAGGCTTCACTTGATATGGGACACACTCAGAATTTTGAAAGATAGGCCTTTATTTTGGTATTTCCACCAGCATTTAGTAGGAATTTTGGATCTATTTTATTCTGTATGACTTGCATGCAAAAATGTCGATTCCTGATTGATTTTGTCACTCCTACTGTTCCCGCATCTCCAAGAAGGGAACTGTAGAAGATTCTGAATAACTGGGGGAAGCAGTTAACAAGGAGATTAAACTGATACAAAACAGTATTTATATTGGGTGCATGATCTTTAATGGTATACATATTTGTAGTTACATAAGGATTATGCTGTCTCAGTTCCTCTGTTTTTGTGTATTTAATGCCTTCCAAAGTGTGTAGATGACAAACATGCTCACTTATTCATTTTCAGGAAAAAAAAGTAATAATAAAGGACTAGTCCTGTGACCTACTTCAGTTACCTGGACCTGAAATACCATACAATTTCTTTGATTTCAGTGGGGCTCTGCCCAGACATTAGGATAAAGTGTGACACTGGATGTTAACATGCCTGAGCATCTAAGCATCTTTCAGAACATTTACATTCAGTAAGTTTTTCTTTGGCATGTTTTGAATAAAGTTATGAATTCTCACGTACCTGTTACAGTCAGGCAGTCATCAAACACAGAGTACTCACTCTACACGATATTTAATTATGTTTTTTCAAAACTAGGCTTGGGTAAACACTCCTGTTTTGTACAGATCTATCTGTTTTCAATGTATATTTAAAATCTTTTTGTTTGCTAACAGACACTCTGCTAGTCTTAGTACCTTCACATTTTTATTCTGTTCTGCTGCGTGCCTCAACCAAGCAGCCTTTTTCCTTTTCATTACTTGTCATTCTTTCTCCCTTCTCCGATCCTGAATAAATTATGAGAGCAGAAATAGCTGCAGGGAAACTTTTCATATAATGAAATAGATTGAAATAACTAAATAAATGGTTGCTTTAGACAATTTCCTTTTAAAACTGAAAAGTTCTGTCAAATTTCAGTCTTCTGCCAGCTTCCCCACAACTTCACTGCAACTTTCCTATGGGAAATGCATATATACAGTTTAATACTGAAGTTCTAAATCACAATCATTTTGCAAGGAAATAGTAGAGTCTTACCTGCAAGCCAGTGATCGACTGTTCCATGCGCTCTGCAAAGAAGGATCAAGAGACTGTTACTGTTAGTGAGTAGTCTATGGCCAGTATCAGATGAGCACTTCATGTTATTTAGTAGTTCTTTTCATCTGTCTTCTCAAATTTCTTCCTGGAAAACAAAAAGGCAATTGCCTGTTTTCTGTGAGAAAACATGGGTGTCTTTGCAGACCTTTCAGTAAAAGACATATAAATGTACCTGTCACAAAAGAAGAGAATGATCTTTTTAATGATTCTTATAAACAGAAACAATACCTGAAGTTTTCCACCTGGGCTGGCAGTGATAATGGCACAATCCAAGATCTTCCCAGCACAAGGGATTCATCATGGGCATTAACTCTTTTTTTGCCAAATATAATCAAAGCAGGCATTTCTTCACTATAAAGTAACAGATATGTATTGATATTTGGAACTATATTTAGCTTATATGAAATATATTGTTGTAACTCAGCATATGTAAAGACCAGAAAGACAGCCTACATACAGGAAAGCATTCTCAAAAAGGACAGAAAATGCCAAAGCTTTGGTTCTATTGTCAGATCCACACATCTGAAACTACATCGCACACTGGCTTTGTTCACGGGTTATCTGTTGTCCATCCTGGTTTTGTCCCATGCTTCTCTGCTGACTGTACTGAAGTGCTCTCTCAGCCCTAATGGGGGAGGAAACTCCAGGAAACTCCACGTCCTGGGTCAAGCTGAAGCTGGTCCAACAGTGGTGGGAGACAGTGGTGTTAGTTGCTATGTCTCAGACTAGCGCCTGTCTTTGATAGTTTCTCCTTTGTTCTGCTCTTTCAGTGGTGGTTAAGCCAATATGATCAAAAAGGGACACATCCCTCATGTAAATGCACACTGGATAAGAGAGGACAGTTCGGCCTTTTGTCTGCATGTTCCCTTTCCCAAGTAGACTATAGGAGAGAAGTGAGAAATACCCTGAGGCCCAGAAGTGTCAATGCAAACATCCTTGGTGCTGCCACGATGATGCAGAAATACGTAGCAAATGATTGCTGCTAGCACAGACCCAGCCTGTCTCAGTGTGGGAAGAGAACAGCACTGGCTGTGTAAAGCATTTCTCTGCTACAATTATAATCAAACATGTTAGCTTAAATCATCTGCAGTTTCAGTTGTCTCTGACAGAGCAGCTGAAAGATGACAGCTATCAGCTGTGAAATACAACCACTTTCCCAGATGAGGTGTGAACCTGCCCATGTCCTCCTTTGAACATTGGTAAACTTATTAAATCAAATGTGCAGCACAATCCCATGCAACGTCAACCCTAATAATCTAAGTCAGTGGACCTCTTTGCCTGTATTATGCTCCATGTCAGTAAATTGAAATTATCTTTGTTTTTCTTAGACATGTACATGTATTTTCCCTTTATTACAGCAGTGTCGAAGTCAAAATTTTACCAAAACTAAGTATTATGATATGAATGAATCATGAAATAATGAAATTATGAAATAATGAAGTGTAAGTATTTTGGAAAAAATCAAAGCAAGTTGTTTTTAAATTACTGGAATAATGTGCTCACTTTGTTTCTTAAGATTTCCTTGAAATCAAAACATTCTTGCAAAACTTCCTAAGTCCAATAAAACAGCATTTTTTGAGAGAACTGGGTTTTTTTTGAAAAACAGCTATTAGTGGTCAGATTTTGGTTTGAAGCAATATATCAAATTTTTAATGAATCTGACCTTCTTCAATGTTTGGGACAATTTGGTCCAAGACCCTGGTTTCAGACCCATCCCAGCAACAAAATGACGTGAAATATTACACTTTCTGTTCCTGGGACTTTGTGCAAACCATTTTTTAAACCCTTGTTTCAAAGTAGCTGCCAGGCCCTGAGATCCTCTTGGAGCCTAGCTTCAGACTAATTCTGGTAAAACCTCTGCAAGAATGCTGGAATCGGTGTGTTCAAAGAGCAACAGAAGTCTGAGCCAGATTAGATTTATACAAATATAAATCTACTGGCATATATATAAACTTGAGCCAAGATTTATGACAAAAGGCACAATGTTTAGCAAACGCTAATGAATGAATGCTGATTTATGACAGAACTTGAAACAAGGCAAAGGGGATGGAGTTTCAATATTGTGATGAATTTTATACAGCTGAATACTTAGTAAAACTCTTCCATGTGGATTACTATTCATTTTACCTAGTCATTACGCACCAGAATTCAGCACTGCTGTCTGCACCAGTATTTAGATATATGCTGTTTTAAAAGCACCCAGTTTACTCTCATCTAGACAGCACTACATCAGAAAATCCTGGCTGGGGATGCGCAATG